ATAAGTGTTAGTGACGTTAGGGGGAAACAAAAAAGGAAGACTGTTTTTTTATGACCATTGCACCACTTGTAAACCTACTGTGGGACTAATTAAAGATGGATCTGATTAGCTTAGCTTCTTGGTCGCTAATAGCTGTGCTAAAAAAACAAGGCCCCTTTCCACTCGCTGTTTTCTTAGATTCTTGGGGGTGGACAAAGCTAAAAAATGTCCAGCAACTTTGTCAGTTATCGGCGGTCGCCTTCCCCTTCCAATGTTGGTATTGGCGATAGCCAAAATTTCCATATCAGCCAGGCTCTACTTTTTACCCCTGGCAATAATTTAAATAAACATTTGCAGGTTTTCCTTCAAATGTGTCTATAAACATTTAAGCGTGAGCAGTGAAAGATTGTATGACTTGCAGCACAGTTTGAGGCGCACATCTCTCTTTGTGAGGGCTTTAAGAAGCCCTTGATAAACTTGAGTCTGTTTGCTACTAATTTTAAATCCCATTCATTGAAGACAAATCACTTTGGTGTGCTGTTTGTTTTGGCTGAGATGTTTTTGCATGGATTACATTATTATTATATAGGTTGAATGAATGAATTATTGATAATTGACATTACTTGCCTTGAGAGGACACTCGTTGACTGCGTGGAGCTTGCATTTAAGCTAAAATTGATTTTTACCATCCTAGTTTTCTTCCTCCACACAAGCACAAAAGTTTAATTCAAATCTTTAACTTTTGTGCTCATGTTATAATTCTTAATGACAGATTTGAAAGGCAAAAGTCAGATGGAATCCATTTCAAGCCTTTTTTTTTTTCGCTGAGGCTAAATGTTTGTTTAGTATAATAGTATAATAGTATAACAGTATAATGATCATTACTGATAGCGGGGATTTCTCTGTAACTCAGTGATGATAATGTGTGCTCTTCTTCCCCTGCAGTACATGAGTAATGTGGACTCGTGGTGTAAAGCGTGCGGCGAGGTGGACCTGCCCTCTGAGCTGCAAGACCTGGAAGATGCAATCCACCATCACCAAGGCCTTTATGAACACATCACTGCTGCCTACTCTGAGGTAACATCCTGTAGAAGTCAAATAAAATTAAATGAGAAGAAACTAATGAAACCACCAAACAAAATCATGAACTCCTTCATAAGTGTGGTATGTCATCTTTAAAATTAGTATTATATTTGTTTCTTGACATTCAAGGTTAGTGTAACTGTCACAGTAAATTAGAGATGCACAAATATTGCAATTTTTTCCGAGTACAAGTACTTACCTTTGAGCAAGTGGATGGTAATAAATGAGAACTACTAATAAATGCCATTACACGTACAATATGTAGAATCTGTAAATATAAATGAAATTTGTTTCAAACAAGCATTTATATGATGATTAGCTTATTAGCTTAACATTGTCCTAGCATTAACCTAGCATTGCCCTAGCATTAGCTTAACATTGTCCTGGCATTAGCCTGGCATTGTCCTAGCATTAGCCTAACGTTGTCCTAGTAATGGCCTAGCAGTAGCCTAGCATTGGCTTATCATTAACCTAGCATTGTCCTAACGTTAGACTAGTATTAACCTAGCATTGTCCTAATGTTAGACTAGCATTAACCTAGCATTGTCCTAACGTTAGACTAGCATTAACCTAGCATTGGCCTAGCAGTAGCTTAGCATTGTCCTAGCACTAGCCTAGCATTGTCCTAACATTAGCCTAGCATTGTCAAGCATTAGCCTAGCATTGTCAAGCATTAGCCTAGCAATGTCCTAGCATTAGCCTAGCATTGTCCTAGCATTAGCGTAACACCTTTGTTGGGCATCGAGTGGCATTTGGCTACTATTAAGCAGCTTTTCAGGCTCATCAATGATCTTTTTGTTGCCACTCTTTAAGAAGGATGTAGACAGATGGCGGCAGCCAGCCTGGTGGGGTCGGCTTGCAGCTGGCTCGACTTATTCACGTCGGTGACTCTGACACCACTTGTGCTTTTCAGTCATGTCTTTTTTAATGTTCTTGTCTAAGTCAGACGTAGGATGGTAGAGTCTCCATCCAGCCCTATGTCCACAAACTTTCTCCTGTCTGAACCATAACTTCTGATTCACACAAAATTATTAAACAAAGCTTCATTCACATATGTATAATCGCTAGATAGAGCACCGCATACACTTTTCATCACCCCAGTTTTAAGGTCAAGGTCACAAATCCAGGTCAAAGGTTTTCAAGGTCTTTTCTTGTCTGGGCCATTGTTATAGATTGTTACAAACAATAGTTTGTTGAGGGGCAAGCATGGCCATACTCTTGTTATTTCATTGATGATGAAGATGGAGGCCTTCATTCTTGTGCCAGGGATGGTCTGCTTTCTCGCTGACTTTTCATGGCAACACCCCAAACGGAGATAGGACATTCTTTTTTAAATATCTCCACAAGGCTGCTTCTTCCGGCGTTAATAGTGATTAGCAAACAATGTCTGGGTGTCTACTGAATTACTTCCACCAACTGGTAAGGAGTGTTGACTAGGATAGCCAGCTCCAAAAAAACAAAACTATTTCCACAGAGCTGACGTTGCTCCTCTACCACCTGAAGGCTCGGTGGAAAGGCGGTCGTCACACTCCCATAAAGTAGTGATGTACTGTTATCAGTATCACAGCATCCCTATTGGCAGAGAATAATTCTGAGTAAAATTGTTACTGCAGGTGAGCCAAGATGGAAAAGCCCTGTTGGACAAGCTTCAACGACCTTTGACCCCAGGCAGCACCGACTCGCTGACAGCATCAGCTAACTACTCCAAAGCGGGGCACCATGTCCTCGACATCATCCACGAGGTGCTGCATCACCAGAGACAGCTAGAAAACATCTGGCAGCACCGAAAGGTGCGGCTGCACCAGCGGCTGCAGCTCTGTGTCTTTCAGCAGGACGTCCAGCAGGTATACATGCACGCACACATGCACACAACAGGCTGTTTTTATTCAGCTTATCTGCATCCAAGCTGTAATTTTAGTGTCAGCGCAGAATTCTCTCTATAAAACACCCAAGTTAGATGGTAATTTGAAAATAACAGGTTAGCGTAGTGGGTGGAAGAATTTTTAACTTAATAGATGGTTTGTTTGCGGCCGCAGTCATATTTCCTGTGAAGATGTAGCAACTTTCATTCCTCGTGCGACGTTTTGGACAAGAGTGTTGACAATTTTTTTGAGAAGTAAAGCCTCTCTGTAGAGTGGAAACTTGTCAGGGAGCATGCCACAATCAAATGGTCCAATACGCTGATGCTGTTGCTGTCCAAAAGATATGGGTATTCCTGTGAGTGTTGACATGGCAACTGTTGCTGCGGTAACTGAACTGGGTCATATGTCCATGCAGATGGTGTTTATCCATTCTGGCTATGAAGGACAAAGTGCAGGAAAGGGGGTTTGTGAAGGCAGGCTCGGTGAAACGCATCCCACAATAAGAATCATTATTTATGTTATCACTTTGCTCTCACACAGTTTAATTTATGATAAACTCTTGTGGCACAACTCCCGCCTCAGAGCGCCCCCTGTTGGTGACCCACTGTTTTATTTATTTGTGTTTATTTATTTATTTTTTTGCAGGTTTTGGACTGGATAGAAAACCACGGCGAGGCCTTCCTCAGCAAACACACGGGGGTGGGAAAGTCCCTCCATCGAGCCCGAGCTCTTCAAAAACGCCATGAAGACTTTGAGGAAGTGGCACAGGTAGCTGAGTTTATTTTACTTCCTGTTGGGATTATACAACATCAGATTAAATTGACTCAGAAAAAGAACATTTTGTTTTTGTGTTATAAGAAGTGAAAATTTGGAGATAAAAGTCAAAATGTAAGGGATTTGCACAAACTAGGGAATATCTCACTGGACTGCAACGAAGTGACAAATTGTATTTTTGAAGGAGTCTCCAGAATGTCTCGGGGTCTTTGTGGGGTTAGTTTATTGTTTATTTGTCATATGCAGGTCAGCACAAGGTCAACAATGCAATGAAATACTCAGGATGAGAAAAATTGTCTCATCTCGCCAAAAAAAACCCAAGAAATACCAAAGCATGCAATAAAAGTACAGAACACAGCACCAAAAAGTGAAAAAGAAATACAACATCTACAAGGTCCCAAAGAAATATAGTAAATAACATGGTAGAATGAAAAGGTGCTAGTAGGATGAATCAGTACAAACAAGTACCTCACAGGCAGCAACACTGCTTAGATGCACATGATACATGTTGCACCCACCACACAGGTTGTACAACATGATACACGTTGAGCACACCACACAGGTTGTACAGCATGATACACGTTGCGCACACCACACAGGTTGTACAGCATGATACATGTTGCACACACCACACAGGTTGTACAGCATGATACACGTTGCACACACCACACAGGTTGTACAACATGATACATGTTGCACACACCACACAGGTTGTACAACATGATACACGTTGCACACACCACACAGGTTGTACAGCATGATACACGTTGCACACACCACACAGGTTGTACAACATGATACATGTTGCGCACACCACACAGGTTGTACAACATGATACATGTTGCACACACCACACAGGTTGTACAGCATGATACACGTTGCGCACACCACACAGGTTGTACAACATGATACACGTTGCACACACCACACAGGTTGTACAGCATGATACATGTTGCACACACCACACAGGTTGTACAACATGATACATGTTGCACACACCACACAGGTTGTACAACAGGCCACGGTACAGGCACTGAGCAACATTGAGATAAACTGAATCATGAGGGCAAGGCAGCGACACACATGATACATGTTGCACTCAGTGCAGCAGCAATAAACATATTAGGCGTCTCAGATGTGACTCAGTTCTGTCGAGATGGTAGATAGAGAAGTCAAACGGAGCCACAGCACAGACGGAGCTCCAGCAGTGTTTCCGTAAAGACAAAGACACAACAGCTCCTCGTGTTCCACTTGCAAGAGGTCTGTGAGCACAGGTCATCCAGTCCACTCCTCAGAGACTGAACACCTGAAAGCAGGACTGAGGGGAGAGGGGGTTTGCTGTGTCTCTGGCAGGTCCGGTTCTCCTCCCTCTCTTTGTTTTCCTCATACGACGCCCAGGTAAACAAAGGACCCAGAGGAAAATGTCTGCTGTGGAGTTCCCAAAAGTTGTCCCAAAGTCCCCATTCACTGACAATCGCAACTCCAAAAGTGTGTCGCGGTCACACACATAGTGTGGGAGTGCAGTGCAGGTGTCAAAAGTCCAAACAAAAACAACAATAAACAAAAAATATGTGAGTTGAAACAGATCTCTCATCAGTGCTGCCATGCTGCGGCACACGTTGGGGTCTCAGCACCCTTATTTGACCCACAGAGGTGCAAGAATGCAGTTTGTAAGCTGTGCACACAAAAAAAGCTGTAATTTTCAGAAACCGACTGTTCAGAACACGGCCGCATGGCTTGTTGTTCATAAACACACAGTTTGTTGAGATTGCAAATAATCTTTTTGTCAATTTTCTTGCAGTTGTCCTGCCATTTTGAGTCGCCATATAGTCTCCAATAGTTGTAGCCAAGCGAGAAACCACCTGTAACGTTTTGAGACTAAGACCAAAGAACCAAACCCCACTGTGCTCTTTAACCTGACTCTGTTTGATTTAACATTATTATTGTTATTAATAGGGATGCACTGATCCACATTTTTTATTTTTATTTTATTTTTTCGATCCGATCCCGATACCTTAATCTAAATATCGGCCGATACCGATCCAGTTCCGATATCATGATCATCATTGATTTTATATGAGGCTGTAATAATCTCCTCTCAAGTACAATTTGTACAAATATATGCATGCATGTCCAAAAAGGCAACTTGAGGTAAGTTTTATTAATGTTGGACAAGTTTTAAAGTTAGAATTAAATTCTAACACAAAACATTTTTTTTTTTATTCCTAGCTTTAAAGTGGATATTAAAGTGATTAATTTAAGTGATTGTTTAAAGTTGTTTTATATTTTTTTAAATAAGGGGCAGATATAAGAATTTATTCTTCTTTCTGCACCCTTTTCATTCAATGTTTTCTTTTTGATGTTTTTTTTTATTGTTTCTTTTAAATGAATGAATAAATGAATAAAAATTAAATGTTAAATGGCTTCAAACATCTGCTAAGTTCATGGCATAAACCAACAAACATGTTCCTGTTTTTAGTATTTTACATCACTTTATAATGTAGCTGTTTTTGTTTTTAATATAATTTTCAATTCATATGTTTTTTATGATTGTTTACTGTTGTACTGATAAATATCTCCTGGAGGGTAAACTATATCTTGGCTGCAAGTATCAAGCTGTGAAATCCTTCATTTTCTACAACTGATAGTGTTGGTCATTAATTATGATGAAGTTTAGCAACTTCTCTGTAAACATTTGAGCTCCGTGGTTTCAGCGATGTCTTCTTCTTGTTCAATCCGAAGCAGGCAGCCTGATTTCGGTCAGCCCCGCTCAGTCTGTCCCTCCTCAGAGACGGACAGACTGAGCGGGGCAGATTGGACGCGGCTGGCCGGGGTCGAGTCGCCTGTTGTGGGTTGAGCAAAGAGCAGCGCCCCGCTGAAGCCATGGAGCTTGAATGTCCAACATAAAATTAACTTTCCCGTGGTTTAATGTGACACTATGGCTCTGCAGACATTGCACGATGCTGTCTTGTTTTGTGGTGTTTCTAGTGTAAAATACTTCCACACAGCGGACATGTTTAGATGAAAAGTTTGTTAGCTGTTAGCAACAGTGCTGCTAACTCAGTCCTCACTTTGTAGCTGCTGCAACCTATGAACTGGATTTCCTGAATGTGAGGCGGGTCTTATTACTCTGGGCTCATGAGACACGCCGCCGTTCAGGAAATATATTCCATAGTTTGAAGCCAACTTGTATCATGGATTGGAAATATCGGCAGGTTGAATCGGAAAAATACGATACATAAATTATGCTGGTATCGGAGGCCGATACTGGATCGGATCGGCCCCATCCCTAGTTCTTACTGTAGTTTTTAATATTGTTGCCCAGGGTTAATAGGAGCACTTGTTTTGGGTAAGCTGTTAATAACAACACAAAGCTTTTTGTTGTTTTAAACTGTCCAACACAGTCTTAGTACTCCCACAGTGTCAAAACTCACAGAACTTCCTTCAACCCTTCACAATAAGAGTCTCGAACATACACTATATACACATTGCGTTGACCACAAAATACCATCAGGTCCTCTTAAACCTTTAAATAGCTTCTGTTATGGTTAATGTTCTCGTGTGAGGCTCGTACTGTGGTCTAACCTGCTAGGAATTTTGGGGAGTTTTTTATTTATTTTATTTTTTTACACAGTTTGTTTACAGCTCCAGACGCCAGATTCATTAAAAAAATAAGAAAGTGTTCTGATGGTTTGGTTAACGTTGTTCCCTCCTCAGTGTGATACTGATGGGTGCGCATTGAAATCTAATGTTAATCAATACATTTGGTCATTTATTTAGGACACAGAAAACATCCACATCCTCAGTTTTTAATAAAGTACAAAGTGTAAGAAATTTGTTTTTAAAGGGTGAAATAGAAAGTTGTGTCTGCATTCTGAAAATGTTTCCACTATTTTGTCCTCAGTTATGTTATTATGGTGGAAGTCTCAACTATCAGCTGTGACATCTCAATAAAACTGAAAGGCTTGTTAGTAAAAGTAAAACCTGATCAGTTGTCTGAGTTTTAAAAAAACTAAAAATTTAAAATTCAGCTCCTGTGACAAGTTGAAGCTGTTTGTCAATAAAGTTTTATCAGATATTCATAGAGAACCAAATAAGATTAATATATATATTATTACATTAGAAAATATTGAAAATTGAGCAACTATTAAATCTTACATAATCTTCAGAGTTGGAAAAAAATCTGAGTCCAGTAAATGAGTTTGTAAGTTTCTCCTAAAACTAGAGATTAAATACTTTACATAGATAATCAGAATACTACCCACTTATTATTAATATCAATTCAGTTTAATATATCATCCATGCATCCATCCATCCATCCATCCATCCATCTATCCATCCATGCATCCATCCATCTATCCATGCATCCATCCATCCATGCATCCATCCATCCATCTATCCATGCATCCATCCATCCATCCATCCTTCCATGCATCCATCCATGCATCCATCCATCCATCCATCCATCCAGGCATGCATCCATCCATCCATCCATGCATCCATCCATCCATCCATCCATCCATCCATGCATTCATCCATCCATCCATGCATTCATCCAT